AACTATTGTATTAACGTAAACCCATGCATAGTATGTAGTGTGAAACAATGTAATCACGTCATGTTGGTATGTACGTGTATGTGGATATATATATATATATATGGGCAGGTGTATGTGCATATGCATGTACGTAAGTGTACATGATATGAAGTAGGTATAATACAATGTACTAGGTACTATTGTAGTTAGCGTGTAATGACATGCATTAGCCATGTGTGGTGTGTATTGACTTGTATGTAGATAATATTGTGGTACTATGTATGTTTATTTACTACAGATCCTTACAGGACTGTATGGTATGAGGGACTGCTGGATCTGGCAAACCTAGGTCCACACACCTGGTAGGTGTTGCATATCTTATGTTATCTTATCTCCCATATTAGTGTATCTATAATCAGCAGTCATCCCATCCGGATGACTATCCCTAGAAATCATTACAGATGTATTATATACATCCATGGTATTATTTATATGCGGTGATTTGTATTGACCTGTATTGTATGTTGTAAACATTGCAGCATGCACTTGATACAATACCTATGATGTACCACGTGTCTAAGGCTTGATGTATATAGTGTATGACACGATACCTGAGTAGGTTTACATTGTTCACCAACTGTTTCAGAGTTTATGTATAAGGAGGATATGGTGGATTCGTCCCAGTGTAATAAAGATGCCGTCAACTCACACCCCGTAGCCTTGTGGTTTTCATTACGGAAGAACCCCAAATTCCATGCTACTACATTTGGAGCCCCCAGTGAGGACTTGACGGTTTGGGCCAAGGTAAAGGACAGGCGACCACCCCAGAAACCATGCACCCCTCCGATAGCGTCCCATGACCATGATGACGTCATACTACTCTTGAGACGACGGTAACACGGAATACAGACTTGTATCTCAATGTGATATTCTGAGCCTGTTGAACTGGCTGTTATAGCTAGGTTGATATGTATTCACACAGTAGTAGAGGCTCATGAATCATGGACTAGATGAACTAGAACATGGCACTGCCATTGTTTACTTGCAGTGTTACCTACAGCTGATTGACTATTTTTGCTGAGTAGAAGTTACAGAACATTGGTTTAGAAACCAATTAGAATGCCGGTCACATGCATACATGCATGTAATGATATCCACATTTTGTGGCAGCAACATGTTTTTATAACAGTACTATGTGCTGGTTGCTTTGTAGATGCTATGAACAAGGAATATTGAGGAAATCGGTCGAAATATGTACATATGACATTTCTATGAACACAATCCCTCACAACAATAAAAAGTAGATAGTAACGTGTCATTAAACAAGTAAAGCCAAAATGTCAACTCCCCGTTCTTAGTACCGCTACAGGGTAGACACAGGTGACAACTATTACCCCCTTTATTGCTATTTGATCAGAGTGGACTGATCTGAGGTATATGTTGAACAGTCAACAGCATACAAGCACGTTTTCATGCTTAGTGATTCCATATCTTCTAACATGGAATATTCTCCCTGGCTATTCAGCCTATGCCCTCAACTAGTGTTTGTGATCTCTGTTGATAAGATATATATGAAGGGATAACCTGTACATCATCAGGAACTAATGAGTTGTAGGTTGTCATATCGTATGCTCTTATTCATATGTACATTTATCCTCTTGTTTCAGTATTACGTAATGGGAGACACACTGTCACCTGATGAAATTGAGAGACTTGTGTCGGCATTCAATACACTCCAAGTGCATCCGAATGTTGATTCAACAGACGAATTTGTGCAGTGGATGGGAGCATATACACATGAGGGATTCAAGGCAGGACTACTAGAGACACAAGGTGGAGGACATGGTACTAATGCAAGACAGGACCATCCTACGACCAGACAGATACAGGAGATGAAGGCAATGTGCAACTATCTATCAAAACAAGTGGAGGAGTTGAAGCAACAACTCCAGGTCGCAGCAACATGGCCTCCCAAGGAATCTCACCATGATGGTAAATCAACTTGGTCAAACTCTCGCAGGCAAGGTCATTATGTCAGCAATAGGCACTGTGGGACTGAAACACATTCCAGTTTGCAATCAAACCACAGGATAAGGCGAGGGTGGATAACGGATGAAGATGGCATCCAGGTACCAATCTGTGGGCAGCTGGGTACAGATTAGGATGGGCACACACGGGGACTATATGGATTGAATAACAGAGTTCAGACTACTGACAAGCAAGATAATAAAAGTCTAGTTGGGAGTGCGAATGAAGTTGAGGTATTGGTAAATGGAATATGTGCACAAGCTTTACTTGATACAGGAGCCACTGTATCAACCATCAGTCAAGCCTTCCACCAACGCCACTTATCCCACCTACCGGTTGAGCCACTGGATACTATTCTTCGAGTGGAATGTGCTGATGGTCAACAGTTGCCTTATCTTGGACTTATTGAGGTTCCCCTTCTTGTCCCAAGCATGAATAAAACAGAACAGAGTTGTCTTTTCTTGGTAGTCCCAGATAGTAGCTATAATACCAATGTTCCTGTCTTGATAGGCACCAATATTCTTGGTACATTCATGGAGCTCACTAGGGAAGAACATGGCACCAGATTCCTACAACAGGCTAATCTACATACTCCGTGGTACTTAGCATTCAGGTGTATGACCCTGAGGGAAAAGGATTTAGTGAAGCAACACAACAGGCTAGCAATTGTGAAATGTGCAGAGACTAATCAGTATACTATCCCACCTAACAGTGAGGTCACACTGAGAGGGTATCTAGATAAGCCCCTTTCTTTTAACCGACATGTGCCATACTCCAAGAAACACATGGATCAGTAGTACCCAACAACCTGGATATTGTACCGAGTCTAGTGGCATATAACATGTCTAGGAGTCGTTCGAGGATAGCGGTAGATGTCCACATTGCCAATGTTGCCACGAGGACTGTTACGATCCCCCCACATGCCATAGTTTGTGAAGTACAACCTGTCAGTATTGAGGATATACCAGTACTAAGGAGCAGCAAGGGCGAAGACATAATCAACAAAATGGACTTTGACCAAGCAGCTGTTACTCCTGAAGAAATAACTCAAGGCAAGAAGGTTATTCATGATTTTCTGGACATCTTCTCTACTGGAGATACTGATGTAGGCTTTACTGATCGAGTCGCCCATCGCATCGAACTCATGTCGGAACATCCCTTCAAACAACGACATAGGCGGATAACACCAGCCATGTATCAAGAAGTGAGAGACCATCTTCAACAGTTGTTATCAAGTGGGATTATCCGCACGTCACACTCCCCATGGTCTTCCAATGTGGTGCTTGCTCGCAAAAAGGACGGCCGTCTCAGGATGTGTGTAGACTACCGACAATAGAACAATCAAACAATTAAGGATAATTATTCTTTGCCACGTATAGAAGAACTGCTTGATGCCCTTAAAGGATCCAAGTACTTTACAACGCTTGACATGAAGAGTGGATATCACCAGATTGAAGTGGCAGAAGAGCACAAGGAGAGGACAGCATTTACAGTTGGTCCCCTTGGCTTTTTACGAATATAATCGGATGCCTTTTGGGCTATGCAACAGCCCTGCCACCTACCAGCGTTTAATGAGTGAATGTTTTGACGGATTACATCTCAAGATTTGTCTCATCTACCTTGATGACATTATCATCTTTTCCGACACATATGAGGAGCATCTGGATCGTCTGGCTCAAGTCTTCCAGAGGATTAGGGAATGTGGTCTCAAACCAACACCAGTCAAGTGTTCCTACTGTAAGGAGAGTATCAAGTTTTGGGGTCATGTAGTGTCATCCAAGGGAATAGAGACAGACCCTGGGAAGGTGCAGAAAATCAAAACTGGCATAGACCAATCACTCCAGAAGAAGTGAGACAGTTCCTGGGAAGGGTTTTGCAAGATATTGTCGTCGTTTTGTGAAAGACTTTGCTGCGGTGGCCAAGCCCTTATTCAGTATGATGCCATCGACTAAGACTAAAAGCAAATCCAAGAGGCGGATAGCCCAAGTACAGCCTTGGTGTTGGGGTGACGAACAGGAGGAAGCATTCCAAGTGCTGAAGAGAAAATTGTCCTCTCCCCAGTATTGGCTTACCCAGACTACACCAGACCATTCGAACTTCACACGGATGCCAGCAGGCATGGTCTTGGAGCTGTACTTTATCAGGAAAATGATGGGAAGAAGCAGGTATTAGCTATGGCAGCAGAGGATTGAGTAAGTCAGAAAAGAATTATTCTGCCCATCGCCTTGAATTCCTTGCCTTGAAATGGGCAGTGACAGATAAATTCCATGACTACCTTTATGGAATTCTTTCACTGTCTTCACAGACAATAACCCTCTAACATATGTCTTAACGTCAGCAAAACTTGATGCCACAGGCCATCGTTGGCTTGCTTCATTAGCAGCCTACAATTTTGATATTGTCTATAGACCGGGCCAGAACAATGCTGATGCTGATGGACTATCGAGATTACCGGGTCTTTATTCCAACAAAAACCTGGATCAAGAGGTGATAACCAAAGACTCAATAAAAGCAGTTTGTAACACAATACAAACACAACCCTACATAGAATCTCTGTGTATGTCTGCTGAGATTGTAGATATAGAACAGGACCAGGGACAAGACTTAAGGAATATGTCTGAGAGAGACTGGAAGATGGCTCAGTCCCAGGATGAGACCCTGCGACCATGGATTGACTGTGTGAGGCAGAAGCGAAAGCCGAGACAAGCTTGCAGACCGTTTTGATGAGGACGTTTATATCATTGTAGCTCTCAGCCAAATTCTGATATCCCCGTGTTTAAGGTCCAGAAGGAGAATGGCGAGGGCAGGATGAAAACTTCCATCGAAATCACCTGCTACCCATTGGAACGCTGTTAGTCCCAGATAAGGTTGGAATGGATCCAAAACCATCTACACGCCCTGTTCTTAAAAGGAGGAAGCTTCCGATCCAGCAACAGAAAGTTGAAGCAGCCAATCAGCCATCAGATGAAGAAGATGAAGAAGATGAAGAGTTACAGATGATAGAAGTGGTAGAATGGTGCAACCAGCCAGTCCATGAAGCATCAGTTGCAGACACCCAAAGAGGGGTCAGCACAGAGACTGAAGTATATGATGAGATGACACATTCTACCCAAGACACTCCTGGCGACAATCATGAACGTCTTGTGGTAGAGGATGATACTTCTGCAGGTGACGACCTGATGCCGAATCAGTCAAAAGAACTGTCTAGCACGGAAGTATGTCCTGAGGATGAGGATGGGCTGGAACACCACCAGTCAAGAAGTTCCATAGCTTCAAGTGAGTCAGCTACCAGACCAGAACCCCGACCGAGATCAATCCGAGAGAAGAAGACACCTAAATGGATGTCCTCCGGAGAATATGTCATGAGCCACACAGTCCCAGAGACAGAGATGCTGCAAAGATCTCGGATTATCCAACAACTTGCAACACAAGGCATTTTTTGAAAACATCGGTGGCACAGTCTCACAGGCAATTTTGTCTGTCATAGATGGACAATTTTCATGATGTCTCTGGCGATATATTGGGTTTCATGATGGGGACGTCATTCATGGGGAGGGGGAAGTGTGTGGCAGTGTAGTATTTTATATTACAGTGTTATATTTTATGTTAGTTGGTACTGCTAGTTGAAGATTTACCTGTTTTTATGTACACAATACACACCTGTAAATATTGGTTATTTTAA